GTAATTTGACTATTGTGATAGTTTAGTTTTATCATGATATAAAACAGGGATTGCGAGTCGTTTTGGACACTGACAAGTATTTAACTCAACCCACTGCAGAAGTGACAAAACTGCAGTTCCTCAGTTTGCCACTTGAGGCTACTTCCAAAAGTGAGTCATTCCTTAGACTCCTTTAGAAATGCCCAACTTTAGGAAGGAAACGGAGGGTTAAAGTGGTGCATTGCAATTTCACCATCTTTTTCTGTTGGAGCTTTTTGAAACATTTCTTACGGATCCACGTTTAAGATGATGTAGCTGCAGGACACACCTCCGCTGACTCTCAGAACAAACTTTAAAATACGTAACAGTTTTACCAAATTGTGTTGAAGTTAAATAGTGTATGGCATGCTTTTTCATGAATACTGCTGTCAGGTTTTGTGCAGGAAGAAAAGGTCATAACTGGATTTTGTAAGCACAGAGGGAAAAATCCATCCATCCATTCTCTTATGATACAGTCTATGCAGAGAGCATAAACTCAAACAAACTGTGATGCTACATTCTCACAGTTTCATACAGGACCTGTTTATGTATGATCCTCTAGCAGCAGCTTTTTGCACCACTGCAGTGCTTGCGTGTGTGTTCAAACAACATTGATGCAAAATGTAATAATTATTTGTGCAGTTTTCACGTGTTGATGTTCCATTTGTTGCTAAGCAACACCTTCTTGCCTCTTTCCTCTTCACATTTACCTGGACAAGTCCTATTCTGATGCTGCTGGATTGAAGCTGTTCATGCTTTGAAGCATCCTGTGTAATACCGGACTGATGTGCTGGCAAGTATATTTTTAAAAACTGAGAACGATGACAGTACCCACTTTACACAGTTTTCTTTTTCATATTATTCCTTTAAAAATGTATACCAGGGGGCGCTTTAATGTTTCTTTATTGTACTGTGTCATGACTTAGACAGATCCCAACTGCACCACACATCTATTGTAACAGCGCCCTAAACTCAATAAGATGTAATGCTGGCATGTTAGGGAAAATAAGTGAAGTTGAAAATACTTTGGTCTGTTATCTTGCAGGTAAATCACTCCCAGTTTCCATCCTTAAGAGACAGACTGGTGCCACTATTGTCTGAGACAGCACTGACTTGTTTTCCAGGAGATGCAAATGAAGATGTGTGAAGGTGCTTTCCCTGAAACATGATGAAGGCTTAAATATCCTTAAACAGTTAGGAGGGGTGGACTGGGTATAGCTGAATGGACAATGCCCCCTACTGGCCTACTGGTTTAATCAATTTACTGTGGAAATGTGTAAAGACCCTTTGATTCCTGCCCCAAACAGCATTTGGAGGTAAGAGGTGAAGAGTAATTTAGTTACATCTCTTTTTCATCGATATTTGCACACTACAGTGTGGTGGGAATGGATTTCTTTGCAGCCAGTGGAGGCTGCAGGCAGGCAGGCAGGGACCTGCGGCTGATAAAAGATTGGACATTCCACCTTAAGAATGCAAGAAATTACACTGGCAGCAGATTACCATCAGGCTGCCAGTGGTCTGGTATGCAACTGTGGTTCGTGAAACAACTGAGAGCTGCAGAACAAAGAGTGAGAGCAGGCACCGGGTGCTGTGAGAGGTCAGAGGTTCATCGTAGGGAAGAAAGTTTAACACCTTTGTGAAGATAACATAAATCAGCATGTGGGATGAATTCTTGGGGAAGAATTAGGTTGCAGTCTCTGCCTCCTTAAATCAGTTGATGTTAAATGCAGCCGGGATGATCTGCAGAACACAAGCCTGCCATCTCTTTGATTTCATACTAAATAACTCGGAGCTTCAAATCCCAAGAAAACAGACAGGTAAAAGAGTTTGTTAACCCACTGTGTTTCGAGTTTAAAATGCTTTATATTAACTGGGACGTGTTTCATGAGTGTTACATGTCACCTGGATGTACCAGAGTGGGAACTTTGAATTAGAACGAGTTAGAAAAGGAAAGCTATTAGATGTGCACAGTTGTTGTCACACAGTTGTAATCATTAGTTGGTTTTTAAAAACTAAGCTGAAGACACATTTGTTCACCTTATCTTACAAGTCTTAATTCTATGGTTTTTACTTTTTACATTTTTACTGTTTTTAACTTGTACTGTGTCTTTTACCTGTGTTGCTATGTATCGCTTTTATTATTATTTTTTATCTTTTTAGTTTTAAATAGTTGTACAGCACTTTGTTTGAAAGTGCTTTATAAATAAAGTTATTATTATTATTATTAGTTATTATTAGTTTGTTTTAAAGGTACAGTAAGTAATTTTTAGGTAATTTAATAGGAAAAGGGGAATGTTGTACCCATAAAAATACATTAATAGTGTGCAATTGCATCTTCCAACACACTGATGTATTCAGAGAAACTATTTTTAATCCATTAAAAATACACAAGCGGGCTCCGATTTGCAGAAGCTAATATGCTGCCATCTTACTGTGGCTGAGACAAACATCATCATCTCAGCCACAATAATCGTGTTATTGAATCTGGCTACCTCCATATTAGCGTTTCGGCTTCTGTCATATAAACAGTAAATCATTCACTTTGTATTTGTTGTAACTATCTTCTCTATTGGGTTGCAAGATTGTGGTGTTCTTACTGACACATTGTTTATATTGCAGTGAAGTATGTGAACAGTATAGGTAGTGGGTTTCTTTCTTAAAGTTATGGAACAGTCAAGCTGCTATACACACACCCCACCAATATTACTATACTGTGTAAGTAATTTAAAATTATTAGATATTTGATTATCTTTTTGACAAACAAATATTGTAGTTGGAGGTAAAGTCAGTCTCTTTCTTGTCCATGATGTTGTGTCATGTTGTAAATTTTATAAATTCAGTACCAATGAGTATTTTTACTATAAAAAAAGGAGATAAAACGATGAGTGTGTAATGTGAATGGGGTCACTCACAGTTATTGATGAACACATAGTATTCCCTTTAGGTTAAAAGCTCAAAGGTTCTCTTTTTTGTTTTTATAACCTACAATAGAAAAACAGTAGTGACTAGGCGATGTACACAGAGCTGCTCAAGAGCCATATAATGCTTTCAGCATATGGTGGAAATGAACCGCAATAGAAACACAACTCTAACTGAAAGCGAGTGCTGATCAGTGTCTGCTTGATGAGGAAACATGTGCATCATTTAATCAGTGGTGTTGGTAACGGTGTCATAAATATTTGTTCGTACGTTTTAGTTTACGGGCAACAGGGCTCATCACTTCATCATGACTGGATGCACGGGAAAAAAATTTCCTCATGAACTTTCTTTGTATTTGTTAACCTAACCATCGCAGCTTTTATTTGGACCTGCATACTTTAAGTAACACTACCAACTACATCGGTACAAGAAGAAGTGTTCAAAATTTGTTCTAAGTTCAGACATTTTACACGCCTACATCTGTTTACACTTTATTCTAGTGCGCCAAAGTGATTAGAAAAGGGGGAAACGAAATACTGTAGTTTGAATTTAAGGTTGGCCACAAAAATACGATCGTCTCAGTTCAGTTCTTCTCGAGTACTTTACTCCTTAAAGCTGGGCTTTCGAGTCTGGCAGTCACATTCGGTCGTAAAGTAGTAATACCTGAATGATGATCGTGCTGTTTGAGAATTTATAACACGTTCGTGTGTGCTCAGTGACATATTCACAGCTGAGTGTGTTTAATATCATCTCTTAACACAATTAATTTCTGGACCTGACGTGAAGTGGGCAGCAGATGAAAAGAAGCACTGGATGCCGGCAGGTTTCTTTCTCCTTGGCCTTGTGTTGCCAGACAGCTTTTAACACCCTGAGCATCATGCCAAGAGAAACATAAAAAGGGTAATAATCCAAGATGAAAGGATTTTGGGATTATCGCTACATATTCTGAAAGTTGCGTTTTTCAAACAGGGCTTTTAAAAGTACAGTAATAGCCAAACGTTCTGTTTCAATGACCATAAATGGAGAAAAAAACCTTCAAATCTGATCAAGTGGAGCTCAGCAGATGACTGATAGAGACTGGAATGCACGGCAACAGGTATAATAAAAGTTTTTACTTTATTAACAGAAATCTTTCGTTCAGACAAAAGAACAAAAGTACAGAAATAATGTTAATACTAATAAATTACATCACACTTCTCACAAATAAGCAGCCAGACATCGAGATCACATAACGCCTAAATTTATACACCTGAGGCACACAAGAGGGGTTGGTTTTCATGCCACATTTACACCAATATACACAACATTAATACACTTACAATATCACCCACCATTCAGCAGAGAGGAAGGGACACAGTGAACTCAAAAACTGGCAAATGAATCCGTGCAACGGCATTATTTCTCTCATGTACATATGCCACATTAAAGTAGAGTTGAGTTTGCTTTCAGTAATAGCTGTATTTCATTGTAAGTCTCTGTGGCTGCATATTAATTCAGTCTTACACTATGCATCACTTCAACACACCCAGAGCAAATGACGATGAGCCAACCCTGGTAGCAGAGTATTGCCTTTGCTCCAAGTTATATATTAAATGAAAACAATGTTGGGGAAATTTAAAAAAAAAGCTTTATGAAATGAGCATACGTTCCATACACACTGTAAAAGTTCCCAGATATAGCACTGGTGACATCAGCAACCTGTTTTGGGAGAAACAGGTGAATCTGGCACTGTGATTGGCTGAGATAGCTATCAACCTGCTTAACTCAAACACCTCTCTCTTTACGATGACAAATGATATGTGAACTATTCTTAGAAATGTCTTGATGCATGCTCAATCGTCCAGGTAAGTAAATCCAAAAAGGTTGATTCTGTTCTGGACGTAGTGTTTTCAGTGGGAGAAACATTTCGTCACTCATCCGAGTGACGTCTTCAGTCTCAGCTGACTGCAGGTTTCCCCAATCTGAAACAGTACATTTCAAGTGACAGTTATTCTGCAAATGTCCTGTTTACAAGGTTGGGGAAACCTGTTTCTCCCACTGAAAACGCTACATCCAGAACAGAATCGGCCTTTTGGGATTACTAGAAATGCTTACATCTATAGAGACAAAGAGAGCGAGCAGAAGTAAACCTGGGGCGTAAATACCTGTGAGAGTGCCCTTTTAAACCCACAAACTGTATGTTAAAGATGGACATGAAAAGTGAAGCTGGTGAGGATGTGCCTTAAACCTGCATTTTCTCTAAATGACAGCAGGGGGCGACTCTACTGGATTCCATTGTAAATTTCCATTGAAATGGGAAAATTCTCACACTTTGATGTATTTATGGTCTTAAATGCTAGCTTTAAGTCTATTTAAAGCTAGCAGTGCTTTAGCCCATGGTTAAGTTGTTAATGACAGTAAGCTAACCTCCTAATTGTAATTTCATCCTTGCTTTTTCAGCACTAGGGGTTTTAGGGGGACAGCCTTTTTATGTTTACACATTTGGTTTAAGCCTGGTGTTAGCAAAAACTGGCATCCAAATTAATATCACAGTGAATAACGGATGCACTTTGGTAACAAGTCTAACTAGCTAGTCTAAGTGTTAACTAATCAGCTCCAAATACACTCAAAAGACCAAAATGTTGATGACCAAAATGTGAAAGTGAAAGCTCTGGGATTGTTAACTACAAACCAACACATGCTAGCGCAGTGGCCATGTCCATCTTTGATATACAGTCTATGTTTCATCATAAAGGAAGTAAAATTCTGAAAAGTGACATCAAAATATCTGTCATAAATATGAAATCTGTAACATGTACAGTATAGTAAGCACAACATCACTTGAAATAATAAAGATACAATATTCAAATAAGATTTTGACACAGATACCTTCAAGAGCCCAAATCATTTCAATTTATATTGCATTCTAGTAACACTTTACAAAATGTTTTCTTTAACTGAAATGTTATGAAAGAGGAAAGACAATTTATAAAATTAAATACCATTTTGAAAAACTGGAGAAATGTATAAACTGGGGGGGAAATTTTGAGACAAAGAATTTTAAAATGTGTGACTCGATATTTGACTTTAACAAAATTGTATTCCTCTTATTCCTTCTGCACTTAGATGTTGTTTTACCACAGCAGGTTTATTGTTTTATGAGCACATCAGTTATAACATGAAGCCATGCTCAGTGCACAAAATCTTGTCCAGTACTACCACTCTATTGTCAGTTTCAGCAGAGCACTGCTGAACTTGAGGTAGTTACCAATCAACATTGCAGCTCAGTTCCAATTAAATCAGCTCAGAAACTATCAGGTACGGGTCCACATCTGACCCTCAGACAAAAGGGAAGCAAACCTACAGTAGTGACAAAACTAAAATTATTTGATGTCCGGTCATTGTTTATAATTTGACCCAATAAAACAGATTTATGGAACATGCCAGATCCTAAACTGTATTTTAAACCCAAAATGTGAGAAAAGTGACATCATAGTTCTTTCATCTTTCACCCTGACAGAATGAGCAAATAATTATATCTTGAGATAACCTTGATATCCAGAAAGAGTAACTGCTGTTTCTCTCCAGGACAAGTTAGGCTATAGACACAGTGTTTAAAGTTAACATTTCAATTTTTCAGCAACGTCACAGCCATTATTGCGTGGCACATAAGGGATAGGAAATACTCTCGGTTTGGTTATGGCTTATCACACTGCAGTATTATATATGAAGTGGCAATAATCTTTACAGGTAAGATGGAACAATTTAATGTAAACCTTTAAGGGGCCTCACAATCAAATGCAGATTTGGTCCACTTTGACACAGTACCAAAAGCTACGAGATGCTTGCAAAAGTGTTTAACACAAGACACTGCAGTAAATCTGAGATTACAGATGAGAATTTGACAAAAAGTCAGAATTAATACAGCCAGCAATAACTTGAAACAAAAGAATCACAGTAAGCAATGTCAATATTTTCATTATTCCAAAATGAAAAATACAAGCTAAGTAATTATTACATTAGTGTTTATCTGCCCTAGCATGACAACTGACAGGAGAATTAGCTTACTGCCTACAGTGGAAAACCACAATGTTGTTACTTTAAAGCGTAATGAGCACTTAAAAAAATAAAGTAATATTTAAATTATCAAGGGTGGTTAACACGAGCAGATTGAACCTGCTCTTTATAAATAAATAAATACATTTGTGGAATTTTAGACATTTGAAACCCCAACCAAGTTGACCAAGCTAGCATTGAAAACTCACAAATGCTTTTATTAAAGTGGAACATCCCCTCTGGAAGATAGAATGGCCATGATTTAAATAAAATTTAGCTAGACTAAAATTTGAAATGGTCTTCTTGAAGTTATTTAGGAATAATTAGCACTTTTATGTAATTGATTTTTAGTTAGCATTATTCTGTTGTTTCGTGTATCCTAGTATGTTTAGCCTCAAACCGTTTCCATCAGAAATGCATATTTAAGTTTAATTTACTAATTTATTTTTAACAAACCCATGGCGTCCCCTTTGGTGTAGCAAGCTAATAAACCACTACTGCTAAAATCCATTAGCTGACTAGCCGCATTCTAGCTAGCTAGTTAGCTTTCTAGTTGAACTCAAGAACCAGCCATTTGAAAAATGCAGAAAAAAATTGCCACCACAGTAACATTGCTTCAAAGGAAGAAAGAAACCTGTTAGTTAAATTTATAAGTAGAAGCTGAAGCTAAGGAAACTAAACGAAGCCTGAATTCACTTTATTTACATCTGCTAAGCCATGCTCTCTTTAGTCAATGCCACTGTAATGTTTCCGTGTTTTGCAGGATAAATATGCAATCTGTGGTGGCATTTTTTTTCCTGCAATGAATGTAATTATTGCAAAAATGGCTAGTTAACTTTTTTCTCCTTTTCTGGAACTTTCATCATTTAACACTGGCTTTGGGATTATCATTTATCTACTAAAGATCCAGATTCTGAATTAAATGGAAGGTGGGAGAAACTATTACAGGCTCATTCTAAGTCACAAGATATAACTATTATTTACCATTACTATTTTGATAATTTTCTAATAAAAGTACCAATTTATTTAGAGTATCATACTTTGATTGTTCTTTGCATGGAAAGCAAAACCATGTAGTCAGTTTGTGTCTTTGAGCTTGCTGCTACAAGAAGCTAAAAGCTGTAGCTCACTCATTATTTTTTGAACATTTTTTTTAAAAGAATATTTTGGAAATTTAAGACTTTGGTAAACTAAGATGTTTTGCATACCCTTCAGATCCAATGAATAGTCATAAGAGATCTTTGCCATCAGTCATCAATTAAGAGTTTTTCTTTGAAGGCTTCATTGCGTATGCACATTCCATCTTGCGAAATATGCTGAAAATCTACATAGTTCATCTACGATAAACCAAAAGTACTTGGTGTCTAATTTCATAATAAGTTACCCAAAAATGCACTTTTTTCCCCCAGAAAATTCAAAGTAAGCGTCAGCTCCCATCAAATAAACTGTGGAAGAAAACAGGTTGGCTCCACACATCACATTCATTTACATGCAGATCCAAAACAGTGACGGATGTTAGAAGAGGATGGCTGCCATTCCTGCAGGTATATGTGTGCGTAGGTTATATCTGCTACAGAGCAAAACTCCTAAAAAGAACTACAATAAATGAGCTGCAATCCTAGCTGACAGAGAACAAGAGACAGATGATTAAAATATCAGAGCCTTGCTGTTTGCTTCTAAAGACTCACCAGTACTAGTTGCTAGATCAGTCCCCACACCAACAAATACCCCACGGTGCTATTAACAAAGCATAAAAGATTAAGAAAAGGAACAATTTGCTGGGGAAGAGCAGAGCTGTGATGGAAGACGATGGCTGTAAGCCAGTACAGCATTTGCACCTCGTTAAAAAAAATCACAAGCTCAAAGGTTTTTCTGTGTGATTGTGATCTCAAACAAGTTAAGGGGGTTGTTTCTTTAAAAAAAACTGTTCTTTTTTTGTTATTAAAAAGCACTTTGGTAAAGTTAGGCCAAGGCAGAGGAGTCACTACATAAGCCAATATGTGTCTACAGCACACGGATGTCTGAGAAATGCTGCTGCTGGCTAAGATGCTTAATAAGAGACCGCTGGTGAAGCGAGAGGATTCAGTACGCTTCTCATGACTCAAGTGGAACTGGTTCAGATCAGAATATTGCCATGGACATCTGCAAACAATTTGGAAGCTGTGTGTCGAATAAAGAAACTGAAGATAGACGGATGTACATAAATGTAGAAATATGAACATAGAAATAGTTTCACCGGTCGGACAAAGAGAATGCAGAATAACAATTATATACCAAGCAGCACGAGCGAGAATATGAATATCTACTGTGATCACCTACCACTAAAAAGGCCATTGGCTGGTTTTGCTTTCTAGGAAGTTCAATTTCTATGGACAGGTTTTAGGTTTCAACACAACATTGGAGTGACTAGAAATGTTTCAGGAGTTTCGTAGATTAAACCTGAATATGGAATAATTAGAACGTGAACGGGGGGTTTGGTGACATCTTAAAATCTACCATCTCCAGTCAACATGGTGTAGGTCCTCTGAAATCCACTGGCCTTTCTAGTGATAGATTGATCACTGATTTGAAGACAGAGGGTTGCACCAGTGTTAAACTTCACAAACATGGAAAGGAGAGAGGCGACTCCATAACAAACAGAGTAAGCAATTATTATTATTTTCTGAAACCTGATGACAGGAAGAGGAAAGCGGTAGGGATGTTTTTAGTCAGAGAAGAGGCTGGCAAAGGACTGTCGGAGGGAGCGGATGGTCTCGGCTTTGGCCTCGTCGTCGGTCAAGCTTCCTCGTAACGTCTCCGTGAAGCTGTTTGTCAGCGACTGCGATTTGCTGCGCGACGAAGACGAAGACGGTTTAGCTACCCGACGAGGAAAATCATCGTAAGCAAAGTCATGTGTGAGATTAACAGAACCCCAGCTTGGACTTACTTCAGCTGCGGTGATTGTTTCCCAGCTCCAGGTCCAGAAGAGGCAGGGATGGGACCGGGCTGGAACGCCTGGCTGGGAGACGTAGTGGCAGACCGGGCTCTCTGAGGGGATCCCTGGGCCGACTGAGATGGAGAGGCAGAAGCGGAACGATGTCCCCCTACCATGCATGAACACGTGATGCACAGGCTTATTATTTCTCTGTACTGTATCACCACAGAAGGTAGTGGAATGAATCATAATGAAGCACTTTACTTACCTCGTCTGGGCTGCGTGGTCTGAAGAAGACACAAAAAGACACAGATAGCATCATTTACATAAAAATGCTTGAATTTTACTGCTAACACCATGACAACAACACATTTTTGAAAACATGGAAAGGAAACAGTTTCCACGATGAGACATTTTGATTGTTTTTGCAAATACATCAACTCAGGTTGATGCCACAGATTATCAGCTCCAACATATCCTACCCCAAACCATCACAGAGCTTTCCTCCTGCTGTTTCCTTTCAGATGGTCCAATCTGGCTTCAAGCTATATGGTTGTTGATGAACCAACAATAAGCAATCTATACTATATGTGGAAGTCATTAATTGTGATGACAGTTTGAAAAAAAACAAAAAAAAAAAAACAAGGGCGCTAGTGAAGTGACCATAGATGCTGAAATAGCATTAATTCAGATGCTAGTCTAGAAACACACCGCGTTCCAAATTATTGTGAAAATTGTCATAAAGATTAAATAAGTTGTTTTTCAATTAAACCCATGGATGCAATTGTGTCTCAGGACTCTCTGGATGACTGAAATCAATCTCGGACACCTGTGATTATTAGTTTGCCAGGTGAGCCCAATTAAAGGAAAAACTACTAAAGAAGGATGTTCCACATTATTAAGCAGACCACCATTTTTAAGCAATATAGGAAGGAAAACGGATCAGAATCAGAATCAGAATCAGAATCAGGATCTCTCTGCCGCTGAAAAGCGTGAAATAGTTGAATGCCTTGGACACGTAATGAAAATCTTAGATATTTTACGAAAATTTAAGCATGATCACCATAATGTTAAGAGATTTGTGGCTGAGTCAGAGCACACATGGGTTCGTGCAGATAAAGGCACAATGATGAAGGTTGCTGTCAGACAAATACATCAGATTAAGAGAACAGCTGCTAAATGGCCAAAACAAAGCAGCAAACACATATTTCAAGCTGCTGGTGCCTCTGGAGCCCTGCAAACATCAACGTCTAGGATCCTCCAGAGACTTGCAGTTGTACATAAACCTTCTATTCGGCCACCCCTAACCAATGCTCACAAGCAGAAATGGCTGCAGTGGGCCCAGAACTACATGAAGGCTAATTTTCAAACAGTCTTCTTCACTGATGAGTGCAGTGCAACCCTGGACGGTACAGATGGATGCAGTGGTGGACGGCCACCATGTCCCAACAAAGCTGCGTCGTCAGCGAGGAGTTAGTGCAGTCATGTTTTGAGCCGGAATCACGGGGAGAGAGCTGGTCGGCCCCTTTAGGCTCCCTGAAGGTGTGAAAATGACCTCTGCAAAGTATGTGGAGTTTCTGACTGTCCACTTTCTTCCATGGTAGAAAGAGAAGAACTGTGCCTTCTGCAACAAAACCATCTTCATGCAAGACAATGCACCATCTCATGCTACAAAGAACACCTCTGCATCCTTGGCTGCTATCGGCATAAAAGCAGAGGAACTCATGGTCGGGTCCCCATTCTTCCCTGACCTCAATCCTACTGAGAACCTTTGGAGCATCCTCAAGCAAAAAACTATGAGGGTGGGAGGCAGTTCACATCCAAACAGCAGCTCTGGGAGGCTATTCTGACATCCTGCAAAGACATTCAAGTAGAAACTTTCCAAAAATTTACAAGTTCCATGTATGCAAGAATTGTAAAACTGCTTTTAAATAAGGGTTCCTATGTTCATATGTAACTTGACCCGTTAAGATGTTTTTGATTGAAATAGCTTTTGATTTCAGTGAAATTGATCTACTAATGCTGCAAATTCAACAAAAGGCCATTTTCAATTCTCTACAACCTATAGAATCTTTTGAAACTATGTGTGTGTAATAATTTGGAAAAGTGCATTTTAAGTTTTTTATTTATGAAAAAAATTATCAGTGTGAGTACAGGTGAAAGTATGGCCATACAAGCACTGCTTGTAATTACAGTGCTACTCCAACAGTAGTCACTGCAGTTGGTAAAACTGTGTAGCGTTATAGTGATCATCAGTGACAACATTATTAATTAACAGACCTGATAATAAGTATCCATAGTAGAAAAATTTTATTAGCATTATTGGTAGAAGTGGTAACAAAGTTTTGTAATTCGTAGCAGTTTTTATAATTACTGCCTGGTACTATGAAAAAAGTGAGTTACAGTAGTAGTAGTGGCTTGTTTAAAAGCTTTTTGTACCTTAACAGTAGAAGGCTGAGGCATGGAAACTCCCAGCAGCACCTGGGCCATCTTGTTGATGACCAGCTCTGTGATCAGCTGTTTATCCTCCTCCACATGCTCGCCAATCAGAGGCATTGAACTGTCCATCACCTGCAGAGACAGAAAACAAACAGACCTCAGCTGAAGTGTAAAAATTCCCCCACTAGATGGCAGGATGTTACCTCTTATTCAGAATTCCTCTACTCTGACCCTCAAGTGATATTAGTGATAAGACTGTGTGTGGACACACGTGATGAGTCATTTAGTGTAGATCACATGTTTGTTGGGGTCAGAAACAAGCTTTACAGCCCTGTGGCAACCACAGTTTGGAGGATACAAAGAAGTGTGTGACGAAAACTGCGAGTTTCTGTCTTCTCAGGAGGTCTTCGGTGCTCTGGCAATTAATCACATAAACAGAAGTGAAAAAAGATGCTTTAGTTTATTTCTCTATATGTGTGTTCATATAAGCTTTACAACAGTTTAATTTTGACTGATCACAGGCTTCTCTAGTTAAGCTCTGGATAAACTAAATAGGTTTATCTGAACACACACAAGAAGCCAAAGTTAGAATTTCCAGTGATCTGCAAAAAAAAGTGGCTCCATCTGTAAATATTATGTTGCTGGGGCATGACTTTGAAGGGCATAGACCAAACCCATTGCCACACAAATAATTAAAATAATCAAAAAAGAAAAAAAAAAACAAGCAAAAATGTTTTTTCCCAGCACTTGAGCTCACATGCAGGTCCATGTGTGCTGCAGAACCACAGGCCTCATGAGGCTCAGAGACCTGCTGTCCTCCTCCCTAAAAACCAAAACAAACAGGAGCAAAGGAGTGTTGCTGCTGCTGGCTAGGATGTAGATGCCCATCATGGTGGAAGAAGCTGCTGCACCGCACCCCAGCTGCAGGCTGTAAACACATCAGCAGGCATGCATGCATGTGTGTGTGTGTGTGTGTGTGTGTGTGTGTGTGTGTGTGTGCGCTTATCCTCTGGTACACAGCATATGCCAGGCAGAGATTAGACTGTACTGGAGCTCTCTGTGGCTGAAGTTGTTTTTATTAGTGGTATCAGTTAAATCCCAAAAATGTTCTTTAGTCCAATTTCAGACAAACTGGCCTCTTAGCACACACTTGGTGTTTGCTTAGATTCAAATGAATGTGACTTATTATGGCACAAGATACTGATGCAGGCAAAGACTTAACTCACTTCAATTCACAACAGTCGCCTTAAGGTGCTTTATATTGCAAGGTAAAGAGCCTAAAACAATGTAGAGAAAAAAACAAAAAATCAAACGACCTCTTTTAAGCAAGCACTCATGACAGTGGGCGGGAAAAATGTAAACTTAACAGGAGGAAACCTGCAGATCCAGGCTCATGGAGGCGCAACCAGCTGCTCCGACTGGTTCGGGGTGATTGGGGTACGATGCAGAGCAGCCACTTGTTGTTTTCACACAGGCTAGAGTTGTTCTTTAGGCTCTTTTTAAACAGCTGTCCATACCATAACACCGCCTCCACCATGTTTGACTGACGATGTGGTCGCTTTTTCTCCCATCATTCTTTTACAAGTTATTCTTTTCAGAACAGCACAAGTTTTTTAATCTGGCCTTCTTGATCTTGAGTGTAGCCATAGACAGTATAGAACAGGGGTCCCCAACTCCAGGCCTCGAGGGCCGGTGTCCTGCAGGTTTTAGATCTCACCCTGGGTCTACACACCTGAATCAAATGATTAGTTCATTACCAGGCCTCTGGAGAACTTCAGGACATGTTGAGGAGGTCATTTAGCCATTTGAATCAGCTGTGTTGGATCAAGGACACATCTAAAAACTGCAGGACACCGGCCCTCGAGGCCTGGAGTTGGGGACCCCTGGTATAGAACATGGAGGTAGTTTCCAGAGCAACAAAACTTGGCGTCTAAGACCTGCAATCTGTTTAAGGTTATCATAAGGTGATCGTTATGGCTGCAAAAAGAAGAAATGGCTTTCTGTCCTGCTGGCTCGTTCACTTGTTTTGGGCCATACTGAAGTCTTTTTTTGTAAATTTTGGTTCCAAAAACTGAGGATTAGTTATGGTACGGAATCGACACATCGCCAGCTAATGAGTTTTCAATAATAAGCCGTTCGCCAGTTTCACCGTCTGATCCACAGTGTTGCAAAGATGGCAACGGGGAAATGTTCAACTTGATGCTCCAAAACAGGACCAGGACCACAAACTATGGCTAAGTTCATGTTTAAACTGTCTATGAGTGTAACCAGTGGTTTGCACATCATCACTTGCTACCTCCTTGCGTGTGTTCTTGGCTTGAGAGCTATGGTGAAGCTGCTTCTCCCAATGTAAATAATTTAGAAGGGTAGATTTTAGATTTGGTTACTCCAAAACAAGGGAACAGGCCTGACCTCGCCCTGAAACAGCTTTTCAGTCAATTGTCCAATTATTTGTTAAGATTCTGAAAATGGGGGATTTGCATAAAAATATAAATCCTGAAAACTTCATCTGATAATTTTGTAAAACCCCTTGAAATACAGCATTTAAATTCCATATTAACTATCTGATTTAAGATCCACTGTAGTGGTATACAGAGGCAAAGCTACAAAAGCCTTAGTACAGCAAACTACGGACCAAAGTGTAAGATTTATTTAATGATTTCTTTGCGTAATACAAGAAACCAAGAGTGTACTGCTCTTCAGAAACTCGGACTGAAACTACACCCAGCAAGGAGGAGAGCACCCAAAGGCAGTTGTAGGTTTAAATTCGTCTATTTTATTTCTTATTAATTTAAAGCTTTTTTGCATATCATTATAGGGCTGTTTCTTTTGTGGGCTTGCTACACATTGCAAAAACTTTCTCAAAAAAGCTAATCATTGAAAAGTCGTGGAACAATCTGTCAGTGATAATGAACTAAAACAACCGAAGTTTTTATGTCGTCCTTTGTAAGCACAATCTAAACTGATTAAAAAAAATCCACATTTGATGAAAAAAAATTGAAAGAAAATCAAAAGCTTTATTTAAAAGAGCCTCTAAGAACGCCTATAACAAACTGAGGACACCCAAACTAGTCGTCTTTTCCACTCATTTTCTTTGTTTTTCACAGCTGTTTGGGATCTCTCTGTTCTGCACAGAACCACTTCCCAAGCTAAAGAACCCTTTAAAGCTCCCCCTTTTTTGTGTGTACCCAGCTTCTTGGCTAGAATTTGGCAGCGAGGTCGGGTGTGGCACGGTGTTTTGGCCAGTTGAGTCATTACCACAGGGGACTGAATGCAGGCCTGGTAAAAGACCGCCAGGCCCCACTTCAAACGGCATGCGGTGGCAAGCTAAAGCGGGATCCACCCTGCTGATTTATTAGGATACAGAGTCATCTAACAGAAGACTGGATCTGCTGTAGTTCTTTCACCACTGGAACACAGAGGTGTTGTCCTGTACTTTTACTAAGCAGCAAAGGTTTGTGTTTTCTGGACAATATCGGGCTGCATGGCAAATGTTTACAGAGCAAAAGTGAAATGTGCTCGTTGAAAATGATGGTGCAGTTGACGTTCAGGGCTGGCCAGAGGGTCATCCATTTCTGGGAAAACAACTTTAGCTTCAAGATAGCAACATGTGTGCTGTTCTCTTTTGCTAGCTTGAAGGCACAATATCTGAAATATCTCTGTCAACAGATCAAGTCACTCCCGATGGCTGAATCTGTAATATAATGATATTTTCTTACAATTAGGCCAACAATGTTCTAATCATTATTAGGCATAACATTAGCCCTTTAAGTTTTGTGTTGTTTCTGTGGACCAGTAGAAAAATATTACATTTGACATTGTAATTTAAAAAACTTGTTTTGTACTGATAATCTCAAAGACTTAGAAAGTTTTGTTGTTTTTCTTGCCTTAAGGCATCGTAGACCTACCTTTTATGTAAAGTCTGTTGAATTTACACGTGCTAAATTAAATAAAGTTTCTTTAAAGTATTATGTGCCTGCTATTGTGTAGGCTCCCCATGTGCTGGGACTTCAGCAAGTGTCCTTTGGGGACGCGCAACCAAAATCTGACGGCGGGTCTTCTGGGTCCTGTGGGTTGTGGGATTGGAAGCCTCATGGATGCGCAGCTGCGCTGGGATCTGGCATCCATTGAGTGTTTGGTCGTTGTTGTGTTACTCAAGCCACACTTTTGTGGTGTGGTGAGGCTCCTGCCACTAGGGAGTGCCGTTGCTATGGGACGTGTTTTGATTGGTCTGCAACAATCTTCACAGTCTTGCCCAAAGAGATGGACTAACTGACACTGACTACACCAGCACAGCCATTCTACTTCATGTCATGTGGCTGACACATCCTGTCAGATCAGCTGTGTATATAAAATACTTTCTGTCATGTCATTTTGTCAAACGCTGTGGTGCACTGTGTCATGTTACATAACAATACTGCACCCCTATTATCTATACATTTCCCAGTGAAGTGACACAAGCTGGAGTTTGCCTCATGTTGATACCAGCTGCAGTAATGTGTTAATGAAGTGCTCATTACTGTGCATTAGGGTGAGGTGTTACGGCTGCTGTCTTTGTTCTGATGCAAAAAAACAGAAAGAAAGAAAACAGTTTCTGACTGTGACGGCCGACAGCTCTTCAACGTCGCACTTAATTAAATTCCATCTAGGGTTGGAGTAAAGGAGGAGGAAGTAATGCTTGTCAGGAAACATTGCTACTTGACTGTGTCGTGAGTTTCTCTGTCGTAGCAGCCTAGTACTGAGACTACACGCCCCTGGGGAGCTGATAGATACTTCCTGGGATAGTTTGAGGTCTTTTTTGCTTTCTCACAACCGCTCTCTCCCAGCACACAGATAGTCACCAGAGTGATGTCATGTTCTGATCCTAAGTTTGGGCATTTCAGATGTCCAAACTGGCTCATTTCCTCAGACTTGAAGGCATAGGAAGCTGCTCTAAAAACAAAACTGATTGCACACAACTATTTGTCTCTTGCTTCGCCCCTGGGAATAATTGTTAAAGGAAAATGTGCATTTCTGGGTAAGGTATTTACGATTTTATATAAACAGATATTTTTTAAAAAGGACAGAAATCAAATATATAAAAAAGAAATAAATAAACTGATAACTTTGATTAGAATCAATAAGCATTACAACAAATTATTGGAGTGGAACAAAAGCAAGACATACAGAAAGTGTGAGTTCCAGGGAAGCTCATCATAGTAACATATACGTGCAAGTTATTCCTTCTGTTGGGGCTGTGAGACCTGTGAGGCTGCTGGAGATGGCGTGTGTGCGTAACTATTAAATGATTTTCTTTATTTAATAGTGATAAATAAAGTGAGTTGACCCATAAAGCCCCATAACACATATTCTAAATAAATGAATTATATTTCTCATGTCATTATTGAAAAAAAAAAGTACGTAAGAATGTTATGTGAATGACCAACAATAATTTATCCAACTAATCTAACAGACAATGATAGCAACATAGATGTGTTGCTATGCTAACCTTTGCCATGTCAGATTGTATTTTCCATCCCTGGCTGTTCCAGTCTGCATGCATGATACTGTCTGCAGGGTGCAGGCACGATACGACCCCCAGGTTGCTCTCTGATGCATCTATTGGCATGTGAATGTTAAATAGTATAAATCTTAAATAGGATAAAGTGCTTGAGAGCACTTCAAAAACCCAGATGATCAAGGTGAGTCTCAACTCTCTTATCTACTTAGCACTTTTAATTCTTATTCTTATTCTTATTTTCATGTCTATTTTAGCGTAATTTATGACAGTATGTTTGCACTGAAGCACCGCAGCAATCTCCTAATGTTGTAAACCTGCTCAACATTTGGCAATAAACCCTTTCTGATTCTGATTCTGATGAATCTGAATAGGTAAAGATATGTTCTGAAATTTTCAGACAGGACCTGAACACATGAGGCACCTGCATTCAGACAATTACACACTAATCGATGTATATTTATGAGTTCCACCTTCTTTTTTTGGCCCCTCTTAAATGACCTAAAAGCCCCACAGACTGCACCTTTAAACCATGCTTATGTGTAACATATGTTATATGCTGTATATAGAGATACTGAACAGTGAACCTCTAGTGGCCCCAGTGGAAACCCCGTCCCAGGCACTGTTACTGCCACGCTCATCACATTGAAAGCCCAAACCTCCAACCAAACTGGTTGCGCCAAGTCACGCCATGACAGTTTTATTTGTCTACAAGCTGCAAGCTACACTTCCACTGCCAAACTTTACCAGCAGACTCAAACAAACAGACTGGCTTAGAAGATGAAGTGAGTCAACCGCTGACTCCTGATGTTGTTTTCATTCAGCTGCCCATGTTTGGTCTGCAGACTAATCGTTCTTTCAAGGCTGTGAAGATCATGTGCCAGCAAGTGTGGTTACACCCTTCCCGATTGACTTTCACCCATGATATGAAAAGTATTATCAGCAGGGAAAGAGAATGAATCCAAGGTAACGCTTACACAAACTGCTTTAGCCCTGTGATGCTGCTGAGAAGCGATCTAACTGCTGGTTAACCGTTATGTTTGCAAATGTCCTGCAATATTCTCATGAAACATGATGACAGATCTTATTTATCTAAAATACACTATAATGCAATGAAAGAGCAAGTTTCAGCCCCTGTTTCCTGAAACTCTCCTTGGAGCTGTAGATGAAAACACACCGACCTCGATAATGTAGTCGTTCCCGTCTTTTCCATGCACGGCCTTCACAGCGCAGATGTCTAGGCCCCCAAACATCTCAGCGCAGGAGTCTATCCACATACGATATCTGAAGCACAGGGACGCAAACAGCTGACTGTTTAAAACCCAATAATCACTCCAGATATCATTAAAGGAAGAATGGACTTAACAGCTATAAATGTCAGGAAAGGCTTCCAAGACTTTTGGACAATGAGATAATCAGATTCATGCTTAAAAGTAGTGCCAGTGTATTCAATTGAACACAGATGTCTGAATGATTCAGTGTACTTAACAGATCTGCATTTTTCCAAGAGAATCTCTGAACCAGCTCACCTGTCAGTCATTGCGATCTGTTCCAACATGGCAGAACCTGTGTTGGCCTTCCAGTTACCAGAAATGGATGTTCTCCTGAAGGGGGGGCACCAGGAAATGAATTCATATTTCTGCAAAAAACAAGCTAAAATGCTCCAGCAACAGTTAATCGCTCCCAACTTTTGCTTTTCCCTCTCAAGGGGGAAGCTATCATCAGTTCATCAAGGATGGCCATTTTAATCCACACCTAGATAATGTTTGTGTGAAAGCCAATCAAAGACACGGTTTAATGGTGAGGGCAGGGAAAAAAATACGATGAGATAAGCCTTGGCTACTTTGCCCCCCCTCTCCGATTTCGGTTGAGCAATTGTTCAGATACAGTCTTGAAAGCTAAAAGGTTGAGCACAAATTCTTTGTTGTAATATGCTTGGCTGACAGGAATGTCTATGGCTTCCAGATGGGTGGAGCTGGGGCACGAGGCCATGAAAATCAAGGCATTAATGCTGAAAACTGCCTGGAATCCAAGAAAAGTGCTACTTTAACATATAATTTGCCATTATTGGTGAAACTGTTTATTTTCCAGATGATGCTTTATAAGAGTTCATTTCCCACTGGCTCCACATGCCTTGCTACCATTAACCTACTGAAACGCTTAAAATATTTGCTTTCAAATTCACCTGCAATGCCACCAACAGCCACCAGAAGTTGGTTGCAGCAAGCCAATAAAAAACACCTTACATGTAAGCTTTGTAGTTGCTGCCGATCTTCTGGATCCTGATATCGTACTTGGACTGGATGTACGGCTCGGTGGTGGCGTACGTCCCTGCCAGAGCCACCACGCTGGTGATGTCCTGGAAGTCCTGTTGGTTTTCGACTTTAATCTGCAGGAGAGACGCCACTTGTTAGCGGGCAGCTAATTACAAAGGACGCTGCTGAAACTGGCAGCGGCTGCTTTAAAATCCCACAGGAATTTCACACTTGTACACAAGCTGGATAATGAGGGGTCCACGTATGGAAACATTGCCGGGGGCGGCTTTGAAACTACATCACCTCTTTCCCAGTTATTAAACAGTAGACTGCAGACGCAGACTAAGAGGGAAATGATGCAATGGGAGCCTATCGACACACAACATGTTTATATCATATAATTCAAAGCAATTTTTCAATTTCACCGTGAGATTATTAGGTAACAATGAGGTGTGACAGCGTAAAATACGGAGGAAACAAATATTTTCCTCCAGTGACAATTACCACTGAGGGCCATTTGTAGGAAACTAAGGCTCTCATATATTTTTAGAAGACTTACTCTGATGTTTCTTGTTGAGTGGTATTATTATTGTAATTTATGTTGATACAAAGATTAATGAGGTGTGCTTCCAATGGGAAACTGGGCATCCTAAGAGACAGTCACATCAATCGCCAACGTTATTGTGCGGCTACGAGTTTTCTTGTCTCAGGCACCAAACGAGTCAGTGCAGAGCATCCACTCACTCATCACCATCCCTCTCACTAGCACCATCACGGAGGAAGCGATGGGAACATTGCGCTTCCGTCATGATAAAACACAAACCAGATAAGGAAAACAGGAGGTTGATGTTTCCTCGGGGGTTTCGTCTTCTGTTTTTCTGTTCTTCAAATAGCACATCTAAAGGCAACCATTTTTCATACTGAAATGGTATGTACCATAAACAAAGTCTGTTTCTGTGTTTACACTGGGGCACTAAGTTTTCCGCAAATGGTAATATATAGAACACTTTAGATGATTCTGTGGACTAAACAGTTGCATATCCATTAGTCAAGAAGTCCCTTTATATACATCGACAGGGTTACCTCAATTTATGGTCAATTTTAGTTAAAAAAAAAACAGCCAACACAGTCATACATAGTGTCGAAATGGTTCAGTTTGTTGCTATGGCACTGATGGGTTAGCCCACACTCCTATTTCTTTGTAATGTGCTTCAAAGAGAGATAAAAGAGATTCTGGAAAGGCAAGGCACAAGACACTTGTGTCTACATGCAACAATTTGTGAGGTCTTAAGCAACAGTTTAATTGTGTGTTTATAAGAGTTTTACTTTAATGCCCTTTCAAATCCCCCAAACTAGTAAAAACTAAGGACAAGTTGTCTGGGTGGAACAAAGAAATCCCAAGGAGATTTTGTTTTGTTTTCATATGATGCAGCCCACCTTCAGAAAATGAACACAAAAAACCGTCAATAGGAAAAGAAATAAGGAAAATCCGAAAAGAGTGACACCAAAGACACCAGAACAATAAAAGTAAATTTTAATTTTTTAAAGACGGGTGGGCAGCTTTGATGGTGAATGTGGTCACATAAACAGTGTTGTCACTTTGATGGGTAATTACATAATGAGCGTGCTTGTCAAAACCCACATATGTCGCTGACGCTAAATCAGTGACTTTCTAAAATGAGCTTACAAGGCAGCCAACAGATTTAAAAAAAGCATGACTGTATTTTCTTACAGCATATCCTTGGGATCCATATCAGATTTTAGAAAACAGCAACACAACTAATGCCTAGTTTGAAACACTTCTACCGCTTGCTGGTCATTAAGGAAATTATGGATTTTAACTGTGTGATGTTAGCTTCTCTGTTAGCTTTAAGCACATTTTATTCCAAGACCTTCGCTAAAATACACGTACAGGATGCTTGTGCTTGTTATTAGTGGGTGTACTGTATTAAAAGAATGAACATCTTTAAGACTAGACATGGTTGAGTTAAACTGTGTTTATAGTCATGAATAGCTAATTAGAAAAGACGAAGAAGTAACCAAAATCTTGTTTAACTATTGTTTTCGGTGTTAAAAATGTCTATTCCCTGAGTGGTTGGGGGTTCTTGGTGGTTGCTTGCTGTTGCTAGGTGAAACTGGTCACAAAGTGAGTGCTGCACCAAAAAACTTTTTTTTTAAACCACTTTGGTCACTAGCAGACCGCTGTGGTCGCCTGTAGTTTGCAAGGAAGACACAGACATGTCTGCAAACGTTTGCTAACTGACTAACTTGCCAAACTTGTGAAGCTGTGACACAAACTGGAAACAAAGAACGTTCTCCTTCAAAGTTGGTCTCCATTCCGGTTTGCAGTGTTGTCGCTAGAAACTGTCTCTCAACCAATTTCACCTCGCGACTGTCATAAACTAGGGCTGTCAACGTTAACGCATTAACGCTCGTGAATTCATTGTCACGATTAACACTGTTAATGCAACTAACCCATCTGGAGCACAGAATGGACAAAGTTTGTACAGGGAGTGCAGAATTATTAGGTAAGTTGTATTTTTGAGGAATAATTTTATTATTGAACAACAACCATGTTCTCAATGAACCCAAAAAACTCATTAATATCAAAGCTGAATGTTTTT